ATAAAATGGAAAGCCATATGTTGGTGTATGTCGTACCATGGGCTCCTTCTGACTAATCGCATAATGAAGTTTCACCCCTACCCACGTAGGAAAATAGTCCTTGCTCTGCGAGAGCTTGCTCGAAAGGTGAACTACCGGGACAAAGGAAGTGTAGTTAAAGTCCAGACCGGTCTCCTTCGAAATCACACTTTTTATATTAGACACCCTGAGGCCGGTGGGGGCGAAAGGGCCTAGGGGAGGCGACAAGGTGCCTGACCGGTATCAGTATGTCTGTTGCTAAGGGAATAGAAAATGCTGTGTAACGTATAGGGATGGCAACAAAAAGGCCAAAGGTGCATATACCTTGTTGAGGGCCGACCTTCCTTCGCCCAAGTAGAATTTGTTTTTCCTCGTTGACGATGAGGACAAAGACAGCTGGCTTGGCGTCTGGGAAGTCCATCATTGTTCAATTACTTGCAGTAGGCTGTAATCAGCAGGTGTACTGGGTAGCCAAATTGTGGACTTGAATGGTGATGAGGGCATCTTATATGTTGCGGAACGTGTAGTGAAGCGAAGCCTGGAAAGGATAATAGCTGAAACATCTTCCATTAAGTCAGTTGATAACACTGAGACGAAATGCCCGAATCGTGAAAGAGCTCAAACTGGCTCCACACACAGCTTCTTTGTAGCGTCCCCTGAGGGCTTTGCCATGTTGCAAGGAATAGTATCACGGAAATCGGCATCACAATGGTTGCTGCTATACAGTGTGGTCGGCCTTTTGACAAATTATACCTCTACGGGATGTTGTTTTATCTAACTAACACAAACCATGAAATCTCCTGATAATAGAGAAAGGCGGTTCCTTCAAGCCTCACTCCATGATGATACTAGTCGTTCCAGAGCTCTCAGTCTACCATAGGGCTTATACAGAACCAACCTTCCTGACCTCTTTCCTTGTACTTGGACGATCGATGACGTTAAGGAATGAGGTGTAACGATAGTAGGAAGGATCTTAATGCTGGCTGCTGACCAAAGAATGGAAATCTCCAGGTAAGGGGAGATGGCAGGATCTGCTTGGGCTTCGCACACCAGTTTCACATACTTAGGAGCTGGGTTTTAAAATACTAGAGCGATCTCGGATTTGATTTCCTGCGACGCGTAGGTATTTCCAAACAATGGAGCCCAGCATGCTGGGGTATGAACTATCGCTGTTTCAGCCAATTTCCTTTGAATTAGTTAGAGATCACACGAAACCGAACACGAAGCTGTGACTTAATGGCACGATGCAAATTGCCATCCTTTGGTAGATATACGGAGGTATTATTGCTCAATATTCTTTCATAGGAAATAAAGCACCTTTAGAGGGCACTTGTACTGGAATAACAGAGCACACCCGTGCAAGCTTCAAATTTCTAACACTACCTCTTCACACGTAGTGCCTACTGTCCTAAAATAGAAGTGATGATGCCTTATTCAACATTGTGATTGATGGATCAAATATTAAGATAGGGGATTGTTGGTATGCAAATCAGTTGGATCAACCATGTATAAGCCTGAACAGCGCACTAAGCCAGGTCCCGTTCTCAACTGTATACATATATGTTCCATTCATGCGCCACATTCACTCACAGAGAAACGATCACTATATACAGAATATGTCCGACTCCTCTAGCTAAAAGCCGAAAAGCAGGAGCTCTTTGCATCAGATTCTTCCCATCCGATACATTTCCAGCAGTTCAACAACCGGTTGGGATCGTACTTGTTCTTGATATTCAGCAAGGGCTCGTAGTTCTCGCCCCACCAGGCTTCCTGCCAATCTTCGGTGAATGGGTTGGCCTCGCAGCTGTAGGCACCGCTGCCTGGGGTGATCTCCTCAAGGGTCGCGGTCATGTTCTGCAGACCGGCAATTTTCTGCTCGCGCGTCTCCAGGGTGCTGTTCCACGCCCAGGAAGTACCGGAGCCCAGTTCCCAAATGGCCGAGCGCCAGGCGGGCGTCGCGGAGGTGGAGTTCGCCGTGTAGTTGTACAGTACCGGGCCGACGATGGGGATGTAGGGGCTTTGTCCATTGGACTGGATGAGAGAGAAGAAGTCCATCAGGTTCTTGCGCCCCTCGGCAGTTTCGAAGACAGCCTTGGGCACCAGACGACTGCCGGCAAAATGGGTCACTCCGACGCTAACCGCGTTGGAAGTGACATACTTTTCGTAGAAGGCATACCAGGACGAGAACTGTTCCACGGTAGCAGAACCACCCTGTGATTTTGCATAAGCAATCACATCGGCGAGTGACTCCTCTGCCTGGGCCACAGAGAGTAAAGGAGTCACGTTGATGAGGCTACTGCCACTGATGTGACCGCCCCAGCCTTCTGAAGCCCACTTCAGGGTGTTGTTGACAACGATATCCATGAAGGGCAATAGATTGGTAGAGTTTGAGGTGAATTTGATAATGGCCGCAACGAAGCTCAATTGAGGTTCAACGCGGTGGGTGCTCTCAATTACAACACCGAAGGTACCACCACCGCCGCCACGGAGGGCCCAGAAAAGATCCTGGTTCTGGCATTCGTTGGCGATGCGGTACTGGCCATCCGGTGTCACCACCTTGAATTGGATTACTCGGTCGATGGCCAAACCGTAAACAGGAGACAGAATACTATGACCGGCGGTTTGCAGGAAACCACCGCTGGCGCCCACTGTTGGCGCATAGCCACCCAGGAATGTGACGTTGTGCGAGTTGGCAAATGCATAGACCTCGTTGAAGTTGACACCGGCCCCGATACTGATGGCTGGGATGACGGTTCCTGGCGCGGCGCAAGCATTACAGCCTCGGGCTTGAAGTTGGAGTGGTAAGTCTTCGACTGCAAATTGCGTGTCCAGAGTGCGAGGGTTCCCTTTCCACTGCTACGGCCTAGGTAATCGTGACCACTATTCTTGATCGATAGACGGGTTCCAGAGCAGCTGGCGAACTTGAAAGCCTCCACAGCATCGCTAGCCTGCTGAATCTCGAGATAATACGAAGGCAGGTTACCTTGCTGGCAAACTGTGTTGGTAAAAGCCAACGGATCGGTCGGATCAGAGCTGTCGAGCAAGCACTGGTCGCTAGGGTCCGAGGCACACATCTCCACCTGATTGTTCATGTATCCATTGGCGGAGTTGGCTCGCAAGTACGGATCGCTGTAGTTGCTCTGGATAGTTGCACAGGCCGCGTCGTTAATCGCCACTTCGGTCCCATTGTAGCTCGAGAAACAGGGCAAGGAGAAGGGTGTCAAGGGCTGTACACGGCCGCCAACGGTGGCATTGAAGCTGTTGAGATCACAGGTTCTGGCTGAAGCGCCCAAGAGGTAAACGGCCAGTGGCACAAGAGAGTTTTTGAACGTCGAAGGCGCCATTTTGCCACACGATGATGAGATCATGTACGGGGGGAAACACCGGTGGATAAGTTAAACCGGCCGCGAAGATCGCAACCGTTCTAGGAAAGTAATCAGCAAGACAGGAATCGTGTTCGCTTTTTATTCAAAATCCGGCACAGCGGCAACCCCTTGCAGGAGTGCCGGGTTGTTGGGAAACTAGTTTCAGGACAGCGATCGGAAATCTGCTGTTTCCGATCACATTTTGCACCTTCGCCCAGACTTCTCTCTCCATCCCTTGTTGGGTAGTCTAATCCGACAGTCGTTCTCGTATGATAGTGGGTAGGAACCACATGGAGCACGGAGAACGTCCGTCCAGCCAACCATGGCGCATCAGCCAAGGGAATGAGGGTTACATACTAAGCTTTTAGTGGTAGAGGTCAAGCTTAAGCAGTATGGAATTCCTTAGGGCTTCGGTCTCTCTTCGGGAATTTAAGTGACGAGAATCCAATCACAACGAAAGTTGCTGGCCCGCCCAGTGGATCCATCCCCTAGTCCAGGCTCCGTAATTAGCCAGAGGCTGCAGGGTAGTCAAGCTTAATAGGAATAAGAACTGGTGAAAGATGGTAGAGGAACAGAGGCCCAAAAGAAGGAAAATCCTAAAATGTGGATCCACATCGCAGCGAAGAATTTCTTCGGGCCTCTCGCCGCGTGGCTCAATATAAAACATATTAGCCGTTCCCACTGGCAATGGGTTTTTCTGTCTCACCTGCGCCAACTATTGAACTCTATCGGTTAATATCTGAAACAATTCATAAATACCTATGCCGTCTGCCGTGCGGCGTGGATTGGTAGAAAGCCCGTAGAGCCTGCGATCGACTTAGGGCTCCCTTGGGGCACAGTGATCGGACAACCCATGAGGAATGTGGATGGGAATCGATCCCTGCCATTTTCAGGCCAGATCGACGCTGTCCATTTTTTAAGTTCGAACATAAAACCGCAGATAAGATTCAAACAGCAGGTAAACCCGACACAGATGGGTTGAAATACCTGTTGGTCGCCAGAGGCTCGTCGAGAACACCACGCTTGCGGCAGCGCCGGAATTCCAGGCTAAAGTACCATGGAAATGAGGCCAATTTACGCCATTAGTCTTAGGTTCAGAGGCTGAGGGACTTGGCATCCACCCAATAACTAGGATTTGAGACAAACCTCTTGATGAGGGGTGAAGAAATTAAAAGGAATAGCCTTATAGAACCGACACCACGCCCCGGGATTGTCATCCCTCCTGAAGTCGCTCACTTGCCTTAAGGATGTCAGCCTGGTATCACTTTGAAGCAGAGATCTGATCGTTGCAACGTCTCACCGGTGGCTCCTCTGGTTCAAGGGATCCATCGTAGCACACCGAGGATCATCAGCATTTTCCCTTCTCAGGTTGACCTCGCGGTCATTCCTAGCCGTGCACAAGGATGGCCATCGAAAACACATACTGGAAAAATGTCCTCACAGTCGTCCCCATCGTGGGTGCGGCCATCGCGACCCTGACCTATATTCTTCGGCTAGTATCCTGTCGCATCTCCACAGTAGGGCTGAGGTTGGAAGATTTCTTAATGGGGATCGGCTTGATTCTTTCTTACTGCGCCACTGCCTTTGTTGTATATAGTAAGTTCCTATGTCGAGGGGATATTCGAAGATATTGCTTACAACTCGTCAACAGCGGCATTCAATGGGGTGGGCGTCCGAACGAGTCTTTTGCCCCCAGATGAGAGGCATCGGATCCAATTTGTGATAACCCCTTATTGTCCCCAGCGACATCGCTCACAGCGACGCAAGCTAATGCACCACTAGGGCTCATGGATGATTCAGAAATTCTGGGCGCCGTCTATGGCGTTCGTCAAGATCTCAATTATTGTTTTCCTCCAACGCATCCTCGGCACAGTTCCTGCCTTTCGTATCGTCTCCAATTGCCTCATCGTCTTCATCGCTCTGTGGGCCATCGTGGCATTGCTCGTCAACATCTTCCAGTGCAATCCGGTCCAATTCTACTACGACAAAACATTGCAAGGAGGTCATTGCATGCACGGACAGACCAAATTCTTTCAAGCCATGGGCAGCATCGCCCTAGTGGAGGACGTGACGATTTTACTTTTGCCGGTACCGATCGTCTGGCGACTGAAGATCACCCTGCGCCAAAAGATCGCAGTGACCATTGTATTTTCGTTAGGAGGCTTGTATGTTGTTCAGCCTATGAATCCAGCACAACATGTGTGACTTTGGAAGCTGATTAGCACAGGGTCTGTATCTTCAGTCTGATGCGTCTTATTGAATTCCGCAACTTTGTTGTCACGGACCTTGCTTGTAAGTCTCCAGCCACGCCCGAGAAAGGGAAAGAAGACAAAGGAAAAGCAGGACTGATAAATCCATTGCCAATACAGCATCTAGTGCCAAAGAGTCGATCTGGACGGTACTCGAACTCGATGTCGCCATTATCTGCGGTTGTCTCCCTCTCCTCAAACCCCTCCTGGCCGGATTTCTCGGCACCGTCAAGAGCATCTCGAAAGGCCAGTCTAATTCGGGCACAAAATTATATTTCCACACAAGCGGTACGCACAATCACGATGGATTCCACAAGATTAGCGACCCGCACGGGGCGACGGCCAGCCAGAGTCGGGAAGTGGCAACACAGTCCACCCGGCGCGGGAGCTCGGAGATTGAACTGCAGGGAATCGAGGTACACACAGCGATTGAGAGTCGGTCAGATGTTGCGAGTAACCCTCATGTGGTGGAGGGAAGGGCGTGGCCAATACCATGAAAGTTTACCTGCTTTATACATATAATGTCAGGACCTATGACATTGACGATGAACACGACCATTATGGGGGCCATTTGCGGCTTCATCTCTGCCTGTAACTCTGAACCTCTAACTACATGATGGGATATGACGTGTTACTGCCAATCCAGCCATCTCTGGGGTTCCACAGGCACATCTGCTTTCTGAATACCCGGTCTGCGCCAATTATAGTAATGGCCACGCGCCGCTGGTATGAGATGAAGGCCAGGCTTGCGTCCCGGATGTAACACCATTGAAAAAACAGTGAGCCGTATTTCATCATACCATCTCCGGCGAAATGGCTTTCACCAGTAGCGATGATCCTTCTGTTTTAGTCCCACTGCAGAGACTTCAACATGAATCTTTGGCTGAGCGGGGAGACGCCAGTAATAGGGCCCAGGCGAATGCATAGTTCATACGTAGCCTTGCAGAGACGTGGAAGACTATCAGTCGGAGCCTGGTGAACCCCTTGTGGGGGGCTAAGTAGTGTCAAGGCTCTCATTATGTCTACAACCAGCTGCATCTGACCCCAAAGAGAATTCCCAATGTTACGCCTTGACCCTCAGCTGCAAGTTTGGCTAAAGGTTCAGCACGGGGGGCTACGTGGACAGGATTGCATGACTAGCTGGAAAGCAAAGCTCGCATATGATATGTCTCATAGACCACCTTGGCAAATCATACATCTGACTCCACTTCTGAATATGCACGAAGTTGAGTAAAATAGCCAATTAAGGGGTGAATGCTGTACGTTGGTCATTCCTGCAGCGCAGGGCGTGGGTGCTTCCCTACCCAATCGATGGGGGTTATCAGGGTTCCAATACGCTGCAATGCTTTTCAAAGATGGAGGGTTATTCAAGCCAGTGCCGATCCGTTGCTGTAAGGCGTCATGATCAACGGAGACCAGAGTTATGAAGCTAATTGCGGCCCGCGCCGTATTCACCCGAGGCATGGGGCGCTTCTCACATTGTACATACTACATACCAGTGCTTTCAGTCCTAGAGTGCTAGATTGAGCACAGTCATTCTGGGGGGCAACCCATGGAGTATACCAGCACAACAGAGGAGCTCTCACCATTTCCCTCAACCTAAGCCCCAGTGAGATGTCGGCTTCCTATTCGTGACATAATTCAAACGCATTCCTCAAGAACGTTCTTGTCTTCAGTTTGTTGATGGTTTCCATTTTACCGTGAGAGGAGAGAAATACACTATACGATGACGTGGCTCCTATGATCAAGAACAAGATGCATGTCTCACCCCACCCTCCTGGACGTTTGACGTGCATATAGAGTTCTTCCAGCTTTGGAAATCCCTCATTGAAACCGAGACACAGTGCAGTCTACCCATGCAGGAGCCCCCAGGCCGGATGACCTGGATAGTTCGGTGCTAGAGACCACCATCTATTCTATAAAACTGGAAGACATGGCGGAAAGGAGAATGTTTTCATAACCCGTTCCTTTGGGCATACTTGTAGATAGCGAGATCCTGATTGAGAAGGGTGTGTCCTAGGACTTTCCAGGAAGTATGTAGTTGGCAAAAGACGTTGTTCCAATTAGTCCCTGCATTGGAATATCTCTAATCATTCATCTATGGAAATCTATGGATTTCAGCATGCTATTTGCCCAGTCTTAGGTACGGCGGGAGGCCATACTCCCCATGCATGGGTCACTGAGATACCTTCGAGCTCCAGAATGGAAACGTGATCGACCCTCATCAGTTGGGTGGCTGGCTGAAATCGCATTGTAGATTGTATCGAATTTACTTCCCTCTTCTAATGTGATGTAACGTGGGTTGCATATGCTACTTCAAATCACACGACCCCCCTCTTTCTTCTCTCGGCGCAGGAATGTTACCATAACAGTGAGATTTACTGCGAAGGGGGACTTATTTAAGTGCTCCAAATGCCTTCGACATCTAGCCACACCAAAGCAATCGCCCTCGAACAAGCGTGCTAAGCACGGTATTAAATTTATCCTGTCCCTTGCAACCATGGCTCTTCCTCCTCCCGAGGCATTGTTTGGTTTGATCGAAGTGTGCTCAAGAACGACGTTGCCAATCTTGACGACGAGGAGCAATTTGAAAAGTTTGCCCTGCTCGAAGTGGTTACCAATCGTTCTTATGACGAGGCGTACAAGGGGAAAGATGATCCCTTGTTGCCACATGAGCCTCATCCCCGGGCTGGCAAACAGTCTGTTTCATATGATGCCACCAAATATGTCCGATGGCAGCGTCTGAATTGCATGGTGGGACCGGACGCCAAATCAATGAGGCGACAGATCATTTGGGATGCAACAGGGGACGCATTCGAGTTCGAGAGACGCACAAAAAAATTCAAAGTTTGCTTCCTCCCTGTCCCAATGCCCACCAAGGACGAGCGATTTCTCTGGGTCGATCTGACATTCCCAGTCCGCGCTCTCTACCTGCCACTATCCCGTATAGCAGACCAAAGAGTACCCAGATTCGCGGCCTACATCCACCTCAACCTCCGCATATATGATGTGTCCTTGAAGACATACAAGCCTCATGATGTTCCAATTGAAAAGGCCTCATCCACGGTGGGCAAGACGTTGGGCGGGGCTTTGGGACCAACCAGCCAAATTATTGGGCAGACGCTAGGCCAGAAGGTAGGGGGGGTGGCGCAAAATGTGGTTGACGGCCAGTATGTCCCCGGCACTGAGAAGCCTGTACCGGAACCCAACTTGACCGAGGCGGAGCGAGACAAGATTCAGCAGAAGGAAGGCGCCCCCCGAACTTACTGGGCGGGGAACCTGATTATCAAGGCCGATCAGACCCATGGTTGGAGTTGGCGGCCAGAGTGGACGATGCGCATTGATGCTCGCGCTCTCATCGAGATGCTGATTATCCCCATGCACTTGCGCCTGCCAATTTATATCAGTCCATACCGATATGTCAAGCTCTTCCATGCCACCGCGATTGACAATACGGGGGTCGCGACAATCGCTCGGAAGGTGATGGATGCATGGGTTGCGATCGATTATGCCGGGCTGGTGAGCAGGCATGGTGGCATCCCATTGGACTACAAAGCCACAGGGATACCGGAGAGCAGTATCACGCAGATCCTGCTGGCTATCCTCACTCCCAAGGCCAGCATGCTTCCTGTTGCTGGTACAGTCCTCTCCCTGGGGTTGGGCTATCTCGCAGAATATCTCGACGATCCACAGGCAATGTTAACGAAACACAGTCTAGCCAAGAAGGGGACAGAAATAGGACTCCTGTTCATTCAGGGAGCAAACCGCGTGAGAAAGTACTACGCCAGTGGGAAGATTCCGGCCATTCAGCTGCCTCGCAGGGGACCGGGCATGCGGCAGGCTCTAGAAGGACAGGATCGGCAATCAATCTTTGTCGGCGAAGAAGGGGAGAAAGCACAAGCCCAAGAAATGACGCGGGATGAGAAGACGATCGGAGTTACCATCGACGAGATTGAGGACCCACAGAGAGAGGTTGACAAGGAAGATGACGAGGAGATGCAGGCAGTGACCTGGCTTGGTTATAGCCCTCTTGTGATCGAAAAGCAGTAGAGAGTTCGTGGGGATCAATTTCTGTCGGTATGAACATCGTGATAGAAAATTGTTCTTTGGACGAGATGTATATCGAAGTAGGAGATTCAATGGGGTTGGGTGAGCTTACAGGAGTAGAACTAGGATCTGTGAAATTGACAGTGAAAATGACCACTCTTGCCCGTGTTTAGACTGGAAGATCTCGGCCAAGATCTAGCTCGCATCCACTTGACTAGTCTGGCGCGCAGCTGAATTGTATTCTGAGAGGCGCAACCCGATCTGTGGGGAGGCACTGGGACCCAACTATTCGCTGAGCTACTACCCACACACGTCTACTCTTTAATTATTATCGGGTTTCTTGGGAGTGATCTACACTCTTTCTTGTGTCTGTCTCCCCTTCTTTGCCGGGGTGGGTCAGGCTAATTCCAAATCCCCGGGAGTGGATCGATAGTTCGCGATGATCGTGCATTTCTCAGCTGAGCCACATTTCCGAGAAGCCAGACGTATCAAGTCGGGTACGCGCCCTTGCAGTATGGCACCCAGCTACCAGTCCACAGGTGGCTAAGAACATTCCCTTGTCCTCTATTTGAATTTTGCCAAGGCCATAGGAGATCAGCTTCGCATTTGTTTCTCCCTAGACAGCTTCCTGAACCACTTTTGTGCCCCACTCGCTCCCTCTGTCTTCCTACCCTCAAACCTTTTTTGCTTGCCCATGTGTGATCGTCCTTGCCCCTATCTTGTACTTAAGTCAAGCCCCACTGGCCTTTCTTTTCGTTTTCATTTTGTCCTCATCTCTAACTCGGTGTGGGAATGCCAAAAACAGGACCGGTTTGTCCTTGATCGCACCGTTCCGCGACAATGCTATTGAACGGGGGGAAACCTTTGGGTTATCGATGGCGCTCATCGAACTTTTTCATCCTATCTTGTGTCACATTAGCTCTCTTCTCAGGTGCGTATTATACTTCTGACTGACTCCCAGTAATATGTTGACGCCTTGAAGAAAACTTTCTATACAGCTTCATCGTCCCCATCTTGCAGCAAATGCTTGAAGACCGTCTTCACCTCGATCCAAGCAAGACACAAACATACACTTCGGCCGTTTTTACATCCCATGCGTTGGTCTGCTTCTTTTCCGGACCCATCATCGCGGCCTGGGCAGATTCTGTTCCATCACGAAAGGGACCTCTGCTGGTGTCTCTAGGCGGAGAGATCGTGGGCACGATTGTCGTCGCCGCTGCCACATCACGTATGCCATTTTGACTCCTCTCCGTACGCACTGAAAACCTAATTCGTACGCTTCCTGTCATAGTGCCGGTACTCCTCTTTGGGCGCATAATCCAGGGCATCGCTGGTAACGCAGCATGGATTATCGGGTTTGCAACCGTGGCCGACCTCGTTGAGGATGAACAGAGATCCCGTGTATTTACCACGACATCCATGTTCTTCATGTCTGGATTGGTGGTGGGTCCGGCGACCTCAGGAATACTAATAAAGCTTGTTGGATACTGGCCGACCTGGCTCACGGCGATCGCTCTCCTCGTTTTTGATATGATGATGCGGCTTGTCATGATCGAAAGTCCACTCAGGCTAACAAGAGATGTTAAAGAGACAACATCCGATCCCAGTATATCAGATGAGACCTCTGACCTACTTCCTGGGAATTCACCGGGTCCCTGCAGACAAGAAGACACACCGTGGCAGGAAGGCGACCCTGCCTCGTGTTTATCCGGAACGACCGAATCCTCAACCCAAAGCTTCTATAAGGTTATTCTCAGCAACCCTCGCGCTCTAACTGCCTTGGCATGCCATGCGTTCAATGCCCTTATTCTCGTTAGCTTTGATACTACCTTGCCCCTCTATGTGACGCGAGCCTTTGGCTGGGACTCCTCCCGGACAAGCATGATGTTTATGGAGCTACAGCTGCCGGCAATATTGCTTTCCCCTTTCGCTGGCTGGATGAAGGATCGGATAGGAACCAGCGGTCCGACTTGTTTAGGATTTCTGGCCACTGCTTTCTTACTTTGGGTTCTAGGCACCTGTGGTCCTGACGGTCTGCCATTTATAGGCTCCGGCGAGAGGGGACAGGCAGTTTACATGGCTTCTATGCTTGGTTTGGGCTTTGCACGACCTCTACTCACTGGATGTGGAGTGATTGAAATGACTAGTATGTTTTGATCGGTGGTTCTATTCTTATTCCGTACGTTGAATTACTAACTTCGTCCGATTCAGGCGTTGTTGCAGAACTACAAAAGACACAACCCGCTATCTTCGGTCCCAATGGTGGGATGTCCAGGGCCTATTCTCTGACTAACATGGCCTGGACGTCCACTATGTTCCTCGGACCTATTCTTACTAGCACTCTTACCCAAACGGTAGGATATTACTACATGAACTTCTTTCTTGGTAAATCCCCGTCCTCGAAGCTGGCCATATGTATCGTTGCGCTAACGCTTTGGATCTCGCAGCGATTTTCTCCTTGACCTGTAGTATTCTGGCTTCATTATATTTCCAGCGGAAATAGACACGTCCTCCGTACAAGGAACGAGGCTCAGCTTCACGGGTACTGATAGTATTTCTTGAACATGATATTAATTGATAAAATGAACATAGTAATAATAATGCCTGCTCTCTAGAAACAAGAGGTGTGCGGTCTATTACAGACGCCACTTAGTACATTGTTTCAACGCGGATGCTGGTCATCCAATCATTCACCGACGACTTATCAATTTGGCCCGAATACTACTAGAAGTTGCTGTACCGTCAGCTACTTCACAACCTATAATTCAGAGAAAGGAAGTAGAAATGGAGAAACAGAAGATGTTTTTGGCAAAGGCGTCCGTACTTTGGTGTCCATAGTGATAGTCATACTGACTAGGTATTTTTGCCAGTTGAGGATTGCTCGGTTACCGCAGGAAGTTACGAGGCAAGAGAAGTTGAATGAATCGTCTCTCACAGCCCGTACAGAGTTTATCCAACAACACGTCGGTCGCTTAGAGAATTAATCGTCGCATGTTGACAGTAATCAATTCCGGTCTGAAGAACTCGGTGGCCGCAGAGTTGGGGACACGGAACGATATTCGGATTTGCGTATTTCGGGAGTTTATTGTCAGACTTTAAGTGGGTGTGTATTCATTGGACTAAATGATGATGGAGGCAGTGAATGTGTTTCACATATTGGTTTGTGTTTTGGAAGATAATTCTTGTACTGTTCAGATAGCTGCGATATTAGTAGTTCGGGCCACCGAGCTCCATCACTCGATGTGGAAGGTGCAGTGGAAACTTGATGAGTACACGACACACAATAGCGGAACTGAGAGGAGAAAGTCGGTGACTTCCCTGTGGAGTCTCAGTAGCAGGGACGACGAATGGCGAGTTCATGAAATGCGTTGCAAGACATGGTATCCCAAGACTTTGGGACGCCACAAAAATGTAACGATATCATAAAATCGCAAGTCTAGTATTAAAATAGTAAGTCGCCCATTGTTTTATACCGCACCATTCTGACTTTTGGGATCATTAGTTGCGCCATATTCCCCGCCCTGGCGACTGTTTTCATTCCAAAAGCTCAGACTAGCCTGCTGTCGCAAGATGCCATACATGGCACTGCTATCCAGGCATTCGCCGCCATAGTCTCTGGCTGCTTTCATGTGCTTATCGGCTAACTCAAGTCCAGGTAACTTGAAGTCGTGCTCTCCGGCCATTGAAAGCGCATGTTTAGCATCTTTGATAGCCAATGAAACGCCAAATCCCGGTCGTGTATCGAGCGGCGGTGCATATATTCCCGATGTCAATCTGATAATAAGTTAGCTGGGGTAGCCACCAAAGGAATGAACGATAGTGCATGACTCACCGTTTGGAGTAACCCCCTGCAACAGCTCCAAACGACTCCGTGATTAACTGCTCCATTGCGTCGGTCCCAAGGCCAGTTTTTTCTGCAAAGACCTGGGCTTCTCCCACCGCTTCCATCAGCGAGAGGGTTATAATATTCCTATCTAGTCAGCTTTGGTACTCCAGCAGGGGGCAATCACTGAGTGCAGAGACCTACCCGCCAACCTTGAGCAACGATGCGTTCGATGCATTTTCCCCACAATGGATAAGCTTCCTTCCCATCACATTGGTGATATACTTCTCCACAGTGAGGCAGGCAGACTCGCGGCCGCTGATTGCAAATACAAGACCTCCAGCCACTGCGACTGACGGGCCCCCGAAAACGGGAGCAGAAAGAAGGACAGCCTCATGTTTCGCTAAGTCTGATGACAATTTCTTAATTGTGTCTGGGTGTACTGTCGAGCAGTCGACGAAGATCTTGTTTGACAACTCCGAGCCGCCCGCAATGGCAAGCTTCATGAGTCGTTGAAGGACATCGTCGTTCGGTATCTAGCACTTGTCAGTTTCTGACCTACACCCTCTTGTTGGGAAGCTATTCACCATTGTAAAAACGATGTCACATCGTTTCACCAAGTCAGTAAACTCGGCAGCAGGCACGGCACCGAGAGACCTCAGCGTATCTCCGGAACTTAGTGTGCGATTGGAGTATATCAATGGGCGTTCGTGATTCTTCGCTAGATGTCGTTGTAGATTCTCGGCCATGGGACGGCCCATAGACCCGAGCCCGTACTTGGACAGGTTAGCCATTGACCAGGTATCAGTGCATTTTCATGAGTTTCTTACCCATCCGATTTGTGGTTTCACTGATGCCATCATGCAATTTCTTGGGGAATGGTAAAATTGAATTACACGGAAGAGATGTAAAAGGTCATTGGGGAGTGACTTTATACCGCGCATGGAATGCTACGGCCGTTTTTCTCGGCCGGTTTGCTAAAAGCCGGCCATTGAATTGAGTCATGTTAGGTTGAGCGACTAATAATCGTTCTCTCGGGTTTTCGCCCCGAGATTTACGGAACGACTCCCGAGCCCAACCGACACTGGCGGACTATGTGAATATATCTACAGTATCGCGGTCGACAGCAATGGAGTACGACGTAGACTTGAGCATAATATTCTCCTATCGATAATGGGCCAAAAGCTAATACCACTCCCAAGAATCACCAGCAAACGCCGGATATCACAGTCTTAATGATTCTTTCTCGCGCACCCATTTGTGGCGGACAAACAACACTGCCAATATCAATTTGGAAAGCAAGTGTCTCCGAAATTCATTCGAAGAGGTACTGCCTGATACTTTCAAGTCCCTGAAGATCTCCAGCAATAGTACCAGCCATCTCCTTCTCAACACAACCCGGAGTATACCCGCCTCCAAAGTCAATTATATAGGCATCCCCATTGGGATCAAGAAGCACATTAGCCGGTTTTGCATCTCCCCAGACAATATTATGTGCGTGAAGTTGTTGCAGCGTGTGGGAAATCTGGTGAAACCATTTCTGCCTGGATTCAGAATACTTGGGATGATGTCCACCATTGAATTCAAGTGTAGATCCAGGACCGTTAATGTATGATAAAAGGAATCCTATAGTGTTTCCCTCGCCATCGTGGACCAAGCCATCAAGTCGAGACGTGAGAACTGTGGCGTCGAAGTTAGCTATATAAATCTTGGAATATGCCATAAGCTCTTTCAGCGCCACTCTCGCACCACCCGCAAAGATTATCTTGAGAAAGCTGGGTTTTGATCGCCCGTGGATAAAGACCTTCTGGGGGAACCCGGGCAAAGAAGTCGAATCTGCATCGATCGAAACCTGAATTTCGCTCGGATGGTAGACGGGGAACATCGAATAATCAAAATAGGTAATAGAGGGCAAACATGCTCCAAAGAACAGCAACTTCGTGCGCTTTGAGTGGCCGAGGTAAACAGGCACTAGGGTCTCTTCCACCACTTCCACCGTGTAGTGAAACTCTTCCGCATACAGAAAATCCTCAAGAGTGTACTTCCGGCCTTGGTCCAGAGGAGCAAGCTTGCGGAAAATGGGCAGAAATGGCTGCAATATCCATTCGTGCATTTCCTCGAGGGGGTCCCCCCCAAGATCATCCATGCCAGGAACAAATTCTGGTTCTTGACGACGGACCTGGCGAAGGTATTCTGAGAGTAATGCGGGAGACCTTCTGAAGTTCGCAGTGAATATATCGATTTTGAAACGTTTGTTAGAAACGTGCACATTCATCTGTGTGTCCGTGTTAAGGCAGCTTGATTGGAATGTACCAATCGAGTAGATAGGCCGTTGTGCCGCCATGGCTGGTTAACGAAGTAATAGTAGAGGAGAGGAGAGTTACACGCTGTCTAAAGAGAGAAGAGAGATCAAGATGTCTCTACTGTGCCGCCTTCAATCATGACGAATTGATGAGGATAACGCGACGTAGGTAGCCAAGGCAACCATGGCTTTATGCCACGGATGGGCGGCGGCAACCCTTAGACAGAATACTACATGGCTCTTGCCTAGAAACTAAGAGTAGTAATGTGGAATTACTCGGTAGAAGAAGCGGTCTCAACTCTTGAGGACTTTCCACATCGGTGATCAAACGTATTCTAAACGTTGTTCTATATTATGCAAAGTTTATAGTGATGGTAGAATAGACGGCAGGTAGGAAAGTGAGAAATAAGCCAGGAAGAAGATATATTGTTGTATTGTGTCTGAGTAGAAGTAGCAGTTGGTGCATGACAAGGAGCCCACTCGGAGCTCTCACGTGCTGCCCCCACTATTAGGAGAAGTACCAGGACTCTACACACAACAAACATCAACGCGACTGCGATTTCTCAGAAAATGTCCAAAAAAGAAAAACACCGGAAAGACAAAGCTCAAAAGAAACAGGAAAGGGCAGTCCAAAGATACTATTTTCGCGGGTAAGCGACGTTCATGTATTCGAGGGGTATGCAGGCGGACTGACAACTAATATATATTATGACAGGGCATTGATTTAAACGGGATCCCAATAACAACTTCAAGTTGAAGGCTACAAGAATTTCATGAAGCATCTGGGAAACCACAATCAAAGCTTTACAATACGACAGCCAAGCTGAAGAGGCCACGTGAATACCGTAATTCTTTCTATTCGTCATAACCCCAGCACTGACTTTATGTCAAACAGCAAACGCCTCACAATGCCCTGCCATCAGCGCCCGAGGAGTATCTCGTAATCGAAGCGCGACTGCCAATTGATCGCTTGGTCAGATATCAGGAACATTTATGCTGGCGAAACCGAGATCGATCCTACCCGAGACAATGTTGATAAAAACTGCGACGAGCTCTTGCTTCTCAGGGGAACACGCGCCCGCAATGAGAAGGTCTGAGATTTAGCGTGGGCACTCAGTGCCCTCTTACTCAACCAGTTTCCAGGCCGCCTCTAATTGTGCGACTCTTGCCGTGTCGGCGGTTATTCCCTGCGTATATCCTTGAGCCTTCTGCCCCAGTTGTGCTCCCTCGACGCCCCAAGGTGTTTCGAATCTGTGCGGGATCCCGGCAGCCCCATAGCTAATGTAGGGATTATACATGGAAGCTGTTATCCCGTTCATGTTATAATAGAAGGACGAGGACACGTTGTACATCTTTTGCATGTCGAGGTTGTGTCGCGCCATCGAGACAATATTCCGCATCTCTGGGACTGTTTGCTCATAGATGGTCCGGCGATACGCGGCAAATGCCATAAACGAGGCCAAATCCCGCTTGCCACATGCCTCGGCCCACTTGCGGCGCATTCGTGGCGAGTATAAGTCACAGTGACTCTCACCTGGGATTATTTTGGGTGTCAGAGGGAGCTCTTGGGCAAGTTCGCTGCCACGCACGACCTCCTCGTAGCATGCGAGACAGATCCGACAGTCATCCGTGCCATACCATCTCTGGTTCGCCACCAATTCAATCCCTGGACAGAGGGGGAGGTTACATAACCTTCTGGTAAAATCTACAAATCTGGAAAATGTGTAAGTGATCAACGCCTCATCCAGTCTGAGCGCATAACTTAAAAACCGGAGGCTGGCAGGATTTAAATCACAGGAACTCTCCTCTGTCCTAGGGTGTTGAACTCGCTTGAAAAACAAATCCAACCCCAGTGGCTTTAGCAGACCTACGTAGCAGCTCTGGCAGACGTCGAAGTTGTCGATGCCTTGATTAAGTTGATACGTCTGCGCACCGGGTTGTGCCTGCGAGCTGCAAGCAGGAGTTTGGACATATTCTATGATTGTGCGCCGCCATAGCGAAAAGTCCTTCCGCTCAATCGCCTCATCCCAAACGACCTGGGCTTGCCAGAACCCAAGGATGCATTGCTGTTGTCTTGGCAGCTGCCTCATAGGTTGGAAGTGGGATTCAAAGTCGGTCCTGCTCGCAAAGTCGCGGTAGCAGCGCTCGCAGACCGCTATTCCCAGGGCTCGATCCCGAAGCTCATACCACTGCCGTGAGGAGCCAGTCATCACGCCCCCGTTTTTCTCGCATTCCGGAAGGCTCAGGTGACGAGCGGCTTCCACAGAAAATTGCGGCCATGATTGTGTGTTGGTGAGTAATCTTCGAACAAAACTAATAGCGATGTCACACGCCCATATCTGTTCATGTGGTTGTTTTTCTCGGTGCTCCTCAAACTGACCCTCCAAAGGTGTGCCCGCAACTACATCCTCATAACAAGCCTCACATGCAATGAAAGATGGAAGTCTGCTGGTGTCTTTAGGGCTGTACCACTTCACGTTCTCCGACCCTCCAACGCCTTTTGTCCCATCACAGTTCCTGATTGTGGTGCGATGACGAAAGAACCACAACAGCGCCTGAACATTGCCTGATTGCAAGGCTCGGGGCCACAAATAATTTTGAATCCGAGGTGAGCTGAAAAGGCAATGTATGCCAGCACCGGCGGGCGAGACCCAAGGGTGGAAGCTTGTTTGCAACGGCGAGCCCTGAATATTCTTCTCATAACAATACGTGCAAATGCGGAACTCTGGGGTTTCAGTCAAGATATACCATGTACCGGAGCACATCAAGGTATAATTTGTTGACGGACACTTCTTCAAGGCGAATTTTGCGGGCGGATTATACTGCATGCTTGGTCGCGACACTGGGGCATCAGAGCCTGCTTGGTCCCTGCGGTCATGATCATGGCAGGAGCTGCGCACGGTGTTGGAATCAACTGGAGTCGACGATGCGTCATCTTGATGGCGTTGTGTTGCCGGAGAGCTTTGTTGCTGGGAAGGGCGGCGCGACGATAGTGGCGGTGGCGCGGGTGCACCATCTGATCCCTGCGGCCGGAAATTATAGGCGGCTGGTGGTGCAGGTGGGATATTGCGTCCGATGGACTGGGGAGTCCGTGGCCATCCCTCAGCGTGCGATGGCCCCGGAGCGTGGTAGTTGTTTCTGGAGGAAGGCGCCTGCGACGAGGGTGGCGGAAACCAAGGACGAGACATTGAAGGTGTGGAGCCAGTCTGTGGAGTACTGTAGAGGGATATTGACTCTCCCGCGGCAGGACCTTGGGTCTGAGGCAAAGGCTGCGGTCGGTGTTCCGCATGATAGGACGCGGGATAAGGGACCACCTGTTCTGGGGTGGCTTGTCTCTCATATGGAGGTGGCGGAGGATACAGTGCCTCTAAACGCGGGACGGTGTTTTGCGAATCATCTCGCGGTATCCGAGGAGGCAATGGTGGAGGACGATTGTCTTCCGAATGAGATGGTCGAGGCGGGATTGGCGGGGGTGCGTTCAGGGCGTATTTTGGGCGATAAGGAAACTCCATATTAACCGTTCAGGTGAGCCCTTCCATGCGATGATCGAGTTGAAAGTGGAAGGCAGGCAATGAACGACACGAGAGAGGTCATGAAGATATATATATGAGTGATCAATAGAAGGACGCAGAAGGAAGCTCACGCAAGTCTCACGATCAGCCTCAATCCCGAAGCGGGTCTTGTCGGGGAATCGTGCTCGATCTGGGGATAGTCCATGCGGGAGGCTGCAGACCAGCCTGGGTTAATACGAGAACGGCATCGCCTTGATTGACCAGGTTTCTGCTTCGCCCCATCCCGTCCGTTTCTCATCCAGGGCTCGCTCCTGCTCATGATTCCATATGCGAACGAAGATCGGCACTGGCGTGACCTTGCTTCGTCTCCTTGCTCTGGAGTTACTATGATGTGCCGGGTATAATGTTCATTCTCCAGAAGAAGCCGCGCTCACCTGCCGAGACTCTCACTCGGATCGAGGCTGTGGGTGATGGTGATTTAGCACGAATACCCTCGGAATCCGAAGCTCTCGTACCCGCAACCTCTCACAGTAAAGAGCATATTGCACCTCTTGCCGGGTGAACATAACAAAGTCGACTCCATCCATACCATTTAGGTTATGCTGAACTCCGACCGTCAACAAGCATCATGGAATTGCGGGAGCGATGGGAAGGGCCATGCCAAACTGTAGGAGGAAGGATAGATTTCAACAGACTTCGTGCGGATTGTTCATCGGCGGGAGGCATTATGGTTCACGGTTCACTAGCTTCGACGAAACGAACATCGTGCATTCAGCTTTTGCGCCATGTGTTAATGATTGCAATCCATAAGATGACGGAAATTTCTGTAGCATACCAGTTGATAAAGGCTTGCCTGCCACCCCGCAAGACGGTTCCATGGTCAAAGTCTTGCGGTACGGCCGCGTCAAACAACACGAACATCGAGTCGGGTGTTGCTGGGATACAAGTAGTAATCAGGGACGAAAGGATAATGGGTGAGTGATATTGATCGAAAATCTGAAAGACCCGTCCTTTCGACCCACAGGTATTCGCCCCCGAATGTTTTGATGTGAGTTTTCATGCGACCTTTCCGGGGGTATGGAAAGATATCTTCGCCATCGGGGCAAAATTCCACAATGACAGCCTCAGAGTCGTGTTCCAAAAGCGCGATTCAACAAATTTCGTTGTCCATATTTAGGTTTTGTTCCTGGTACTGACACCAAGTGAGAGTTCAGGGGAATAGAGGAAGATTTATCATGATAAAGCACAGGCTTCATGTCGTCGAAGTACGTTGACACTGGGCCTAGCAAAACGCTCGCTCTCATTGCAACAACGCTAACGAATAGATGACATGGGAAATAATGTTATGCTGGTAAATACTCCTTCTGTGTTGGTTGTTTGATCTTAACAATCTCCACCCAGGCTGATGGAATGTAACGATAGGTTAACTAGTCCTTCCAAGCTCAGTTAGTACGATGCCAGACTCATCAGAGGGCCACTGCGAGACCGGTGATTGGTCAGATACTATTTCCATTGCTGGCTGAAATCGACCCTCATGCGTCGGATAGGATGATGGGTACCGTCAAGGGGACACGTAGCGCAGCTACTATGGTTTCCCTGTGCCGTTTCAGATGAGCAAAGACATGTCTATGGAGTATAACACATATACCAAGCGATGTGTAGACCCCGAAGACCGAGTCGACGGTCATGTTGGCCCTTGCATGGGATCATTCTACGTTATCGGCTAGATGTGATCCACACACTAAATGGGTCCCTCACAACCTTCTGCCACTTCTCAGCCGATATACGATGGCGTGGGAACACGAAAAGTAGGGCTCAAATCCCAAAATGAAAAGCCTATTCTGTTGAACCCCGGCCTGAATGAATTCATCCGGCGGTTTGAAGTGAAGTTTATTAGTGCTCTCGTCCTACGACAATGAACCACCAGGAACGTCAGAAGAAAGGCCCAGATCGAAGGGAGCAACCCCGAAACGATGCGGGGACACAGTTCGAATTTGTATTGGAGAAGGATCAGCCTGGCATTCGCAGCCATGCCATGCGACAATTTTGGAGACAGAAACAAGCTATCGCAAAAGAAGACCCAAGCGACACATCTTCCACTGGCCGCCGTCTTTATCCCCGCACACTAATGCCAAATGATGGCATGCAAACCCACAGCCAGTTCGAGGGGCTGAAGGAATTCCGGCAACAGATGTCAGCTCTCCAGCAAAAGGATGACGGGGCTGGATCAGCAAATGCAGGCAAAGGCAACGCGGAGACTTCGGGCATCCCGGCCCAAATCTTGTCTGGAATCCGTCATGCCCTGGAATTTGTCAACTACGACCCTTTCCATACGTTTCCGGTGACATTGACGGCTCAACACCGCAAGTTATTGTACCACTGTGAGTATACTGGACGGATGGCAAACTTAGCCACGGTCGCCGTCAAAGGTTGAATCCTGTGGCTGACGTCGATAGGGTTGAGCACACACACCAGTGGGATGTCGACCGCCCTCCCCCACGCGGCCTTTGATCCCATCAGGGAGGTTTGGTTGCCATTGGATCTGTCAAATAGCGCCTCGTTCAACGCAACTATGGCGCACGCAGCAGCCATTTGGCTTACCTTCACGGTGAGCTCGCCTCGCCCGAAGCTCTTCGATACAAAACTGAAGCCATCAGTGTCATCACGAAATGGCTAGACGATCCTGAGCAAGCGCTTCGAAACGAAACCCTCGTTTCTGTAGTACGGCTTTTGATGTTCGAGGTACGTGCCCAGGCCGAGTATGGCGATGATTCCATCTTATATGATTCAAGGCATGAAGAGTCTTTTGCTTTGTGATTCTGTTGACCGTTCCCGCCGTGTGCAGAAATACTGGGGAATAGATGGCCAGTGGGAAGTCCATCGAGATGGGCTACAACGCCTGATCAACGCAAAAGGGGGTCTTTCTGCATTACGAGAGGACTGGCGTGTGGAACTCGTCGTGTTTTTGTGAGTATTGCCATCCGCCGCCCACCCTGATGACCCTAAGGAAAATAAATTCTTGGAGACTGACGGACGCGTAACGGATTATCTACCAGTGCCTTCTTCATTGCGGGATCGCGACAATGTGAGCCATCCACGCATGTATGGGAGTTGTCAGAGCGCTTCACACCGACGGCCCTTCACCCAACGCTACAATTAACAGTGGACCGGCATCGATCAAAGGTGATAGAAAGCCTTCAGATATACCCAGCTGTATATGACGCGACCATCCTGTTATACAACTCATTCCACCACGCGCCCGAGCCTGAGTTACTAGCGGAACCATCAGAAGTGTGTACCCGACGGTTGAAGTGCTTGGTGTTCCTCGGTGTCATTTTCCAGGAATCAATTTACTCCTCGACATCAGCACTCGGCGGGGGTATCAGCATAGACCGTTCGTTCACCAACCAGTTAGCGGTATTGGATGAATTGTTGACAACGTATCACCACCGGTGGGGAGGCGAGGTTGAGATACTGTATGCAATTCTCTTCGGTGAGTTTTGCGATCTGAATCACCGGCACGAAACCCCGGAGATGGAGTTTGTTATACGGTTCGCAGACGGCCTGGACCAGCTCAGTGAGCGCGCCCGCAAAGTTATTGGGCAGTGTCTCCTGAACATGCTCTTGGAAGAGAAATAAGTCATGACACTACTAGACCGCGGCGCCACTGGATCGGATCTTGCGTCAATGACTCTTCTCTCCAGCTGTGGCAAGTGTGTATAGGAGTTTAGAGTTATTGCATATTACCCACAGCGATCCGCTTTACCGCCATGCTGGCTGTCATATAGGAAGCCGTAGACGTGGAAGCCAAGGTGGTCTTGGCAAGCCTTTCACCAATTTGGCATAGTTGGCCATTAAGGGTTTTTCCCGCCACGGGATTTCCGTGGGTTCAACCCTCTCTTTGACCCAATCCGGTAATACTAATCAACCACTCAATCAGAATCTGTTGTGATGGATTGAGGCTCCAAAGACAAGAAAGGAATGATCAACGGCAACCTAACAGGTTTTTGTCTTGTTCTGTGAGAGGCATAGCTTTCTGGTCTTCTATCTTTTTGATGTCCTTGTCCTCGACTCTTTTTACGCGCAGTAATTGTCACGTTCCTTTTAGCTTGCCCGGGTTGCTTGGGCCAGGGAAACAAGCAATGCACCGTGTAAACGGGAAAAGGAGGACAAGAGCGAAAAGGAAATGAGACAGGGTAGTCGGTGTAGGCCAGACAAGTGTCCTTCATCTCCTGTTTCCCCAGAGGTCTGAGATTCCATGCTTTACTACACAGTATCTCAGATATTGCATGGATACCGTGCATATCTCCAGAGAGATCTACCCGAACGAAAACGTCAACTTCTGATAGCCCAGAATCGATCATGAGGACCTATACCGTCTAATACTAATTGCTACCGGGTTGTATACTAACAACTGACATCCGATTCCTGAATCGCCTTCTATTTCAGGCAACGAGGGATGCCTGAATCTCACCTTCCTGGCAAGGCAACATGATATCCGTTGCACGGTCCACATCTTGTGGACAATGCTATGTTAATAAGGGGCACTAGAACTATCTTCCAATACGAAAATTTCCTTCTCCTGATGAGCTGCACCTCCATAGCCTTGAGAGTTTCAAATGAAATATTCTATTGCTCATTCAGACAGGACATCAACATAGGCAGGATTACGATTTACTGGTGCTATGGATAACAACGTCACAAAGCCAACGGGGAAGCGCAAACCTGGAACGACTGTACGCCGAGACCAGACAGTTCAGTATCATGATATACAAGAACCTACGCCTCTATCTTTCTCGACCTCGACACCTGCTACCGACCTGGACAGACCAGTCCACGAAAGCATACTTACAACAAAGCGTTCGTCATTGTCACGCGCAATTAAGCTCACAATAGCCTCAAGTCTCCTTTTCCTGCTGGTCGCGATATTATTTATATAGTAAGTTGCTCATAATACGATAGCTTACTTAGGTGATCGCTGAACCCCAGTGTCAATCAGTAATTCATCGTTTTCAACGCATCCGTGGTGCCATTGCAGCTTTCGAAGACATCAATTGACAATCCGTTAGGCTGCTCTCGAATGCAGCGTCTCGTTCTCCATTAGCCCGATGTGCCATACGCTGGGTACGGAATGTATCAAAGCCAGTTCCCAGGAAACCGACCGCCGAGAAATACTATTCTTCTTACCAGGTTGCCATATGATAGCATAGGCTATCATGTTGCTCCCTCCGTCTACCATGTTCTATGTTAGCAAGTCATGACACGGGTTGGAACAGGCGTAGCAGGTCTGGTCTAGGCGAAGTTGAACATAAGGCCCTCACCCCAATCCATGGAGTTTAGGTGATTAGAAGGGTTCTTGCAAGCTGGAGTACCAACTATTTCGTTTCCGACCCCAGCCTTGGAGGCATGGCATTCACATGGTACTGTCAGTGAAGTGATTAAATCACCCCCTGATGTTCGAATGTTGCTTACGCGTGTTAATCAAAACAGAATTTGCATCTGCCAAGTTTTTGTTGCGCCATACAGCCTCGCTCCTCGTGACTCGTTTATAATCTTAGCCCATCACCTCTAAAAACTGGTGCCTTGAACGGTATCCTCCGTGCAGTGGGTCTATAAATAAATAATGCCAGGCAATCAAGGCTTCATCGGAAGTAACCGAGCCACTCAACAAGCTCTACCGGCAGATGCGGACGGTCCAGACACAGCAGCAGGCAAATACGGAGCCGCGTCCTAGTGCCCAAGATGAAGAAGAGGTATCTCACCAGTTCACGGATATTAGTGACACCGAGTGAGAGCGTGGTAAAGTTGATTGAAATGTACAATTGTCCAAGGTACTGTTAGATCTTCCTCTCAATTCCGCAGTTGTCGATCATATACTAAGCAATCTTCCAATGCACCTCCTAGATTGAGCAAGAGCACGATGCCTGCTATGTACTTGCCTCCAGATGCAAATCTCTCCCAAAATAACCTCTCTCCCAGCTACTATATTAATGCTACAAGCAATCTCGTTAAAAAAAACACCCATCAACATTGAAACACACATATCGCGACACGCACATCACATTGCAAGCGTCAAACTCATTGTTCAAATTTCCTTTAAACCCATTCATCATCATTGTCATTCCCGGTCTCTATTCAACCTTCTACATGAGTGGTCATCGCTACTTAGTGCACTTGTGCACAGACCAGTCCAGACAACCTGGAATACAATATTGTCCGCAGGCGACATTTAATCTATTCATGGGGCAATGACGAATGTGTCAAGACTTATGGACTTTCCAAGACACATATGTGAACACCCTTTGCGCCATCTGCGAGCCGCAGGTCCTGGTGCTACTACATCATGGATGGGTCTGCTGGCACTGCCAGCAAAGGAACTTCTTCATCGCACCGAACATCTAAACATTCAGTGAGCCAGTGGTAAGAACCCTTTTCAACTTCCTCTCTTCAAATTATGAGTTGAGCAGTGGCTAACGGTCAACGACTTCTAACTCCAGAAAACGAAGTAAGAGACAGGGATAGTCCGCCGTACTGGGGACTTGGGTTAGGTGCAAAAGTTTTGTACCAAAGGCTATGGTCATGATTATACAATTAGAAATATCGATTCTGCGAATTGGACAAGGCGTATTACTATTTCATATGACCGGTAGATTATCTATCAGATATCTTTCCACCGGAACTAAGTGTCAGCACCTTCCGCATCCACTCTAATCTGTTGAGTCTCACTTACTTCCCAGTGCTACCGCTCCCCGACACTGCAATTGGGTCTCTCGACACTGTCGGTAAGCCCACAGCCCATGTCCTTGTTTCCCGGATGATATACGTCTCGCTTGATTGACTTTGCGACTACCACTCCGCGAATGCCCGCGACGTTGATATTTTTGTCTTTGTCCCATACATGGGGGACAGAGCGAATTCACCCCCGGGTTTGGAAAGTGCCCCCTTACTGGTGGAAGAGGTGTGTCGTGCTCGTAATCCGCCGTTGTACGTGGTACTGGACCATTCGTTGTTTTGAAGACAAAATGCGTTGGAACGGAGTCGAACCAGGAAAGGCTTCAGCTGGCCCCAGCAAGCTGTGATGATACTGAGAGACTGGATAATCTCCATGCAGATTGTCCTGGGGGCTGCGTTGATAAAGGGGTCAGTGGAAGGCGTGTTTACTTCGGTAAGGATTATTTGGGCGATGCTTGATGCGACAACACTAAGGGTGTCAATAGTTCAGTACCAATAGAAGGACAGAAATCATACAGGAGCCGCGGAATGAAAATACTGGCAAACACAAGTTTCTTCCTCCACGTAGTTTGGACATGGACGATCAACACCATGGCTTGGACAAAAGACCACGATGTGTCACTATCACTCTACCTGTATACACCAAGCTCCTCAACGAATCAATATAACTCTGGCTCCGCAGGTTATGTTCGCCTGCGTGGTCGGCTGCGGGCCGCATGCTGTATTATGATTTAATATTACAACAACACTGCAATTGATCTCTGCTCACAGTGATAGACATAACACAAAGAGTTGGCTAGTAATTGTCTAGCTAGACCCCTCCGTTGAGTCAAAATGTATGAACGGGCTTTAGCTTCCTAAGTGACCTGACAAGTGCCGCCGACCCCTACTGAGGCTGAAGCACAGAGGCCTAGGATCTTTTTAGATAGCGACGCTTAGGTCTTGTACGTATGTAACGTCAGAGACAAGTCCCATTAAGCGTATTCCCTCCAACCAATGGAGAACATGCTCTTTCAAGGAGTGACATATGACTACTTCGCGTTCATAAGGCCCAGCCTGAAGTGAATGATATACCCAGTAATAGCACAAGTATTGCGGCTCTGGTAAGAAATGTTGAGCAATTCGCTCACGGTCAACACCCATTCGCTCCGGTTTATACGTGGGTAAAGAATTTTTGTAAGATTCGAAAGTAGTAAGATCCCATTTTTTTAGTTGTTGCTGTATCATGTATGCGATAGTGACTAGGAGTGTTCAACACGAAATTCCAAAAGGATAGATGACAAAAACATCTGGATCATCTGGTATACCAAGAACCGAAAGAGATGGCACAACTCATGCCTGAGCATTTTTCTCTTTGCGATTAACACATATTGTCAAAGTATTACCTGAGAGTAGCGTGGCAAGGAGGATGATTATGCTGATGATTATACCGATCATTTCATCGAGTTCTTCTTGGAGCTTGGCTGGATTTGTTTCCTTTGCATGTGTTAGAAGTCGATTGAGGATTGGTAAGTCAGTTATATTCATGTACGAAGCGGATCATATTGTTGTTGGGTCCCAAGAAATTTATTAGGCGCAGTTGAGGTAACCATTTCAGGTCTTTAAGAAAATGACAGATTGTAGCCGCAAGTATCAAACAACGGAATGTCAACTTGGACCAACACTTGTATTTTGCGACCACCCCTCCCCAAGGCGGCCTAGCTTCCTGATCCTAGTATATTCGTAATTCAGGAACAACGCTACGGCATATGCTACACACCACTTTGTCCGGTATTTCGGGCAAAATGAGTTCGTGATGGTCATCCTCTGGAAGGTGTCTGCAGCCATAGAAGCTTAAGGAGGAGGACTAGCACGGCCGTGGCACAAGGTCTTGAGAAAGTGTCAATGTGGAAAGATACTAAGATGGACAGTTCTGTATCAAGCCTAATAAGTGTGATCACACCATTTCTGGTCTAGCAGTTCTTTGTTTGACCGAGAGAATCTGTGAATCTGTGTAGTGAACCTAGAGTAACTAGTAGTGTTGGCCCATGGTTATTCCACTCTGATGTCTCATAACTACGTTGTGACCATACCTTACGCACTGACATAATTCAGAGTAATTCTTGCGTTGAAGGAACATCAGGGTTGGGCAGGGACTAATCATCGAACAGGCTGGACTTGACGAATAGCAAAGTACAGTGAGATACGAGGGTTTCCATGAGATGTAGTATAAAGTAATCAATGTATTGGACGTGAGTTTCAACGAACATGTGAAGAATGAACATTCTGGTGGTACCAGTCATGGAGACCACCAATGCCCATCACTAGATTAGGATGAAGCTCTTATATCCAGCCTCCCTCTCGTCGCGAAGGATCTTGCGGAATGTACCGAGACCACCCCAGTAAAAGAGGACGGCCTTCTTTTTGCCCTTCACATTGGCACCAAAGATCCACGAATCGGTCTTGGTAAACAGGCTTCCCTCACTAGCCTGGATACACAACTTTGCCCATCGATCCTCCGCTTCCTTCGTTACTTCGACCTCCACCGATTGCCTCGCGCCGTTTCGCTGCGCTTCGGCATGGGCCACGAGATCGGTGATGAATTCCACATGCGATTCAATAGACGGGGGGATATTCGCGAAGACCGTTCGGGGCCCATTCACCATGAACAAGTTGGGAAAGTCGGCCATGGCGCAGCCCATGAAAGTACGGGGCTCAGTTTCCCAGTGAGCCTGCAGTGTCTTGCCACCACGGCCTCGGATCCCCAGTCGCGAGTAGCTGCCGTCCACCGCATCAAATCCGGTCGCGCAGATCACCGCATCGAGTTCGTGGTTCACGCCATCCGCCGTTTGGATCCCGGTGGGCGTAAATTTCACAAAGGGCGTGGCTTTGACATCCACAATGTCCACATTCGCGCGATTGAAGGTCTCATAGTACCCGGAATCGCAGAGCGGCCGTCGTGCGTACAGTTCAGTCGGTTTCAGTTTTCGGGCTTTCTTGGGATCCTTGACAATCTGGTCGATCTTACGGCGGATGAAATCGCAGGCCGTTATGTTGGCCGCTTCGCTCGTGGTCAGGTCCTTGAACGTCCAAAACATAAAGCGTAGCCCATTGCCCTTATCCCACGCCGCCTGGTAGATGCGTTCACGCTCTTCGTCGGACACTTCCAGAGCCGAGACGGTGCTTTCCTCGAATCCCATGGCAACAAAGCTGCCCCTGACTTGATCCCAGATCTGATCGTAGTTTTCCTTGAGGTAATCCCGATATTCCTCCGTCACGGGTGCATCCCCGGCGGGGACGCTGTACTGGGGGCGTCGTTGGAAACATGTCAAATGCTTCACCTGGGGTCCCAGCGCGGTGATGACCTGAACGCCCGTAGACCCACACCCAATGACACCGACCCGTTTATTGGTGAAGTCGTACTCTTTGGGAAAGTTGGAGGTGTGGTGGATCTCGCCCTGGTAGTCTTTCATGTGGGGAATATCCGGCCAGTTCTGGCGGTTGAGCAAACCAAGGGCCGTCACCACATAACGAGCTGTGAGGGGCCCATTGGGGGTTTCGATCTTCCACAACTTCCGAACCTCATCGTATTCCATGCCAACCAGCTCGGTGTTGAATTGCATGTACTTCTCAAGGTCGTAGCGCTCCACCACATGCTCGAGGTAGGCCAACACTTCGGGCTGGCGCACGTAATGTCTCGGCCATTTGTACTCGCGCAGGTCTTCGGGGTCCCAGGAATAGCGATAGACCACTGAATTGGTGTCACTCATAGCTCCTGGGTACCGATTCCAGTACCATGTGCCTCCGAGGCCTCCCGCCTTGTCGATCAGCTTGACAGACATGCCCATGTTCACGAATCGGTGCAATTGATAGATTCCGGCAAACCCCGCTCCCACGATGACGGCATCGTATATGTTGGTATCGACTGTCATGATGGGCGTAATGATGTACTTGGATGTACGGATTATAGTGGAAATACTATGTCTGGAGCAAAAAGGGAAAGATAGCTTGGCTGAAGATCATTGATGAAGCGGGTGACAGACTTGGATTTATATTCATCAACAATTGCTTCTGCCCAGCCGGTGTATTACAGTACCTTTTGAAATCTGACCGGTTTATTATGGAGTCTGCCTCGACAGGGTAGCTACGATGTCTTCGTCACCAGACGGGTTTCACTTCTGTTGGTCGGTAAATGCCTACTTGGTCGGCATTTGGCGAACCGGGATATAGCATCTTGGACAAGTGCTTTTGGATTGTCAGTGTTATGTGCAGGACTACATCATATCATCTTCCTTTTTATCAAAGATGCAAATTGC